AATTATAAGGTTGAATTCCCAAGGTCTAGGACAGTGTTGAGTACAGAGGCGCTCTAAAGTCAAAGCTGACGAAGGAAAGACTTTCCTCTCTATAAAACCAGTTCTCATATTAAGGTCCAAGTGCATATTTTTTTTTTTAAAGATTTATTTATTTATACAAGCACTGGGTACAGTCAGAAGCGCGGGAGGGTGAGAGAATTCACCAGAGCCAGAGCGGGGAGCAGAGCAGGCAGGACGACCGAAGTACACTGCTGAGGGGAGCAGCGGGCGGCAGGAGAGGTCTGGGGCCATGTGGGACCCTCCTCTGGTGGCCGGGGAGCAGCCGGGGATCGAACCGGCGCTGCAAAGGCTGCGGGCAGCTTCGCAACCCAGCGCTCAACCGCTGCGCCACCGGGGAGGCCCAAGTGCATATTTTTTTAATTAAAAAACTTTTTATTATTACTATTTTAAATAGTAATAGTAAAATTTTACTAATTTTAATTTCAAAAGCAAAAGATGTTGCTTTGGGGAAGGTAGGTGCTATAGACTGGGTTTAAGATTTGGGCTAGAGAAAAGTCATAATTGCCTATGACACAAATCCCAGTTCTTTGTAATTTGCCATCCCCTAAACTCATCTTTTATACCAGTGAATATCTCCTCTAGATGTGGTGATAATCTTCCAAATTGGGAAGATTTTCCAGAATCTTCTAGAAAGTGCTATAAAAATTATATTGAAGTTATAACCTCTAAACCATGGATTCATTCCTTCACTTTTTTTTTTAATAGAGGCATGTTTTATTTTTTTATTTATTTATTTGTTTGTTTGTTTGTTTATACATGCACTGGGTACAGTCAGAAGCACGGGAGGGTGAGAGAATTCACCAGAGCCAGAGCGGGGAGCAGAGCAGGCAGAAGGACCGAAGTACACTGCTGAGGGGAGCAGCGGGCGGCAGGAGAGGTCTGCACGCCATGTGGGACCCTCCTCCGGTGGCCTGGGAGCAGCTGGGGATCAAACCGGCGCCGCAGAGGCTGCGCGCTGCGCCACCGGGGAGGCCCTCATTCCTTCACTTTTATAGAAGCATGTTAAATGAGTGTTTGTTAAGTGGCCGTTGCTGGAGGATATTGGGAAAATCAGCATTGGCCCTGAACTCAGTGAGCTTTGGTTGCTTAGTGGGAGCTCAGTTACCTCCATGACCAAAATTCTCTGTTCAGTAAGTCTCCTGTGAACTGTGTGGGGCTCTACTGAGCTCAGAGGAAGGAACACACACTTTGGGGCCTTAGTGTGAGGGAAGGCTTCCTGGAGGAGGTTGCATGTGAATGAGACATAAAATGCAAAGAGGAAGATGGGCTGGCCAAGTCTAGGGAGGAGCTGTACTGCACAGGGTAGTGGGACTCAAAGCTCTATAGAGGAAGGCAACTGTTCATTTGGTGGAGGATCCAGTTAGACCCGGATAGGTGAGCTGTAGGATATAGAAGTTGGCTGGAGTTGCTATGGAAGGGTCTTGAATGCAGAAAATGTAGTTTGTACTTTATTACAAAGGCAACAGGATACCAAAACAAGTTTTGGAGCCAGGGATGTCCTGTACACAGCCAGGGATTTTAGAAAGTTATTTTGATGGTTGTGTGGACTGCTGGACTGGAACAAAAAGACATTTGAGGGAGAGAAATTTGGGAAGGGAGGGGCAGATAAATAGAAGACTTTCAACTGAGATAGGGAAAATACTGAGAAATGAATGGATTTATTTAAAAGAGCTTATGAAGGGAAAGTCTTTGGGGCTTTGTGACCATGTGAATGAAACAAAGGCTGGGAAGAGGATAATTAAGGATGATTTGAAGAGGACTTTGTGTCTCAGTGACTAGATAAGAAATAATATCATTTGCAGAAACATGAAAATAGTTTTGGAAGTTTTAGTTGAGGCAAAATGAGGGTCCATTTCAGGTTCATTTATTTATTTGTATTTGTAATTACTGAAAGAAAACAGATCTAAAATCTGTTCTGGAAGAATCATTTGTTTTTGCTGGTCTTGTACCTCTTCTTGAACTTAACCTTGGCCTCTTGTCGGGCCTTGCATTTAAGAGCAGGATCTCTGAAGACATCCTATTGATGACAGTTTTGTCCAACGGAATATCCACAGAATATCTTGTGGGCACAAGGTAATTGTAGTTATAAACTTTCACAAAAGACTTAATCTTTAACCTTTTGGCTTTTTCTTCTCACCCACAGTAGCTGTCACTTTGTGGGGATAGTGATAATGATCAAGTCCTGCTACCAGAGCATGACTGTTAGGTGGTCTGAGGTGCCATCATCAATGTACTTCACAATGACTGCTTGGGTCCAGATAGCATCTTGTCAGGACCAGCACCACCTTCCCAGGTTTCATGAACTTGCCCATTTTGACAGCAACCACTTGGGCCTACAGCCTACTGTAGGTTTAGATATGAAGAGCTGGAGGGGTGGTAGGGCATCTGGTAGACATTTCCTGGGGGTCCTTAGAAACCAGCCAGCCATTGGGAGTCCTCTTTTCAACCTGATCTGTGTGTCTAAAGCTTAGCAGAAATTATTGGTCATAGGAAAATGGATAGATTAGGTTGAATCAAACTTGATTTTGAGGTATCTGCTCACCCAGCTTAATAGAGTTATGTATGCCCCATCTCAGAGATTTCATAGCAAGCTTGTGTGAATGCGTCATCTTTTGTGAGTGTGTGATGTGGCCAGAGTCCTGCATCCTTATTAGGTCGAGTTTGCATTATTGTCCAGATCTCCCCTAAGGCAGCAGGTCAACCCAACCCTTCCCAGTGTGGAACCTGCCCTCTGTTTCTCAAGAGTCAGTGTGACAGGGAAGATGTTGGAATGCTTTGTGCAGGCTCCTCGGTACTATGATGTTGACCCTTTGGACTTGATCTGAGAAAGACCTTGTATTGATCCCATGCCTCAGCCAACCCCTTCCTCATAATTTTGAAAGGTAAAAGAGTAGGGCCACTCTCACCTTTTCAATATTCACAAAGCTGATTTTGTAACTTCACTCCCACTTTATTTTTCTTGAATGGACACATTAGAAGGTGTGGGACAAGAACTGCTGACTGTTACTTGCCTCATCCAGCCCCAGGGAAAACGCTGGACAAGGATGAAGGGGATCAGTACAAGGGCTTTTACATCACTGAGAGTCCTGCTAGGCAAAGCCTATTCATTAGGATGGGGCCAATGCACCAGTCCAGACAAACACCAGCTCTGGGCCCTGGCTAGATGGGAAACATGGTGGCCTGGAAGATGACGCCAACAATTTCTGCAGGGCCAGGCCTGCCATTAGGTGACTCAATGTGTTTCCCAGAATTTCCGCCAGGAGGCAGGGACAAGAGCAGCAGCCTTTATTTTTTCCTCTTGGGCTGGGACTGCCTGTCTTGGCACTAGATCCACAGAAAAGACTCACTTAATCACCTCCCTGCCTGTGATCTCATTGGCCAGCTCACCGCTTCAATCAGGAAAGAAGATCCTGAAAGAGGGCACCGAATAAGACCTGCTTGGGTTTAAACCCCAGCTCTTCTGGGCTTCACTTTTCCAACATGTACATCATTTTCCAACAGGTAATAATTCCAGTCTCATAAGCTGCTTATGAGACCAAAGGAAGTAATCTATGCAAAGCATTTCTTGGGTGGCAGTATATAGTGGTTGAAAATGTGATTTCTGTAGCTCAGACAGTCCAGACTGGTTGGGTTTGAATCTCGAATCCTCTTTTTTTCTAGTCCGAGTGACTTTGGGCAACTTCATCTTGCTGAGTCTCAGTTTCCTCATTTGTAAAATAATAACAATATCTATCTCATAGAGTCAGCTTGAGGATTAAATTATGCAAACCACAATTGACAATCTACACAAATGGTACAATAGAAATGAACTACTCATTATTACTGTCATGATTTTTCCAACTCTACATCCTTCAGAGTTTAGATGAAGGTGCCATCCTTCCCACAAACCCCCATTAATCACATCTCTGATCTTCATTGATTTAGACACCCCTTAAATCCATCTTGCATAGTTTGTTTATGTCCATTCCCTCAAAAATGTAACTCCCTTCCCAGGCTCACATTGCTCTCACCTTGAGAGCAGCTTTACTTACTGACATCGGAATTACATTGCACATGACACAGCAAAAGTTCTCAAAATTGCTTTTAAAAACACCTCTGTTTCTTCAAGTTTCCCTGAGCAATTCCCCATCCTGTTTTTCCCCTTTCTGAGATAGGCTTTCCCTCCCAGGCCTTCTTCTCTCAGTTCCCTTGGGGGGAGTGTGTGTGTATATGTTTATATGTATATTCATAGAATTCGTATATGTGTATATATAATGGATTCCATTCGTTGGGAGCCACAGGGGGATGAAAACACATTTATATAAATGTACCCTTAGTTATATAAACTATGTAAATGGAAATGAGGTGCTCTCAACGAATACAGGTATTTATTCAACAAATACTCTGTGTCCGGGATCAAGTTGTCTGTTGGGATAAGCAGGCATGAAGTTCTAGCTCTCACGGAACATACATTCTACTGGAGGAAGACAAGCACAGAATTTCAGGCAGTGGGCGCGCCGTTATAAATAACAAATACAGGACGGATCGGTACTCTATTGGGTAGCGCTGGGGGCGGACTCGTTGGTGAAATCTGGGCACAGATTCATTTTATAAATGGGAAACCTAGAAAACAGACACTTGAAGGGCTGTGACGGCTGAAAAACTGGGCGGCAGGCGCTCCTCTGCAATTGTGCCACTTTCACGAAAGGCAAAGCGCTTATTCGGCTAAACCCGCAAGGCCGAAGCCCGCACGTCACCGGGTGCGGGGGCGCTTGCGCAGAAGACGGCCGCCAGTCTGACGTTAGCACGCCGGGCTCGACCCCGCCCCCTGGGAGGCCAAGGTCGCCGCAGCCCCGCCTAGGCCCTCCGTGCCCTTGTGCGCATGCTCCGAGCCCCGCCCCCGTGCGTCACAGAATGGCTCTGACACCCCGGCGGCTCCTGACGTGTCGGGGAGGAGCCGGGCGCTGAGGTGCGGGGAGTGGAGCTCTGGGCTGCGGAGGGGAGCGGAGCTGAGCGCCTGGGCGGACCTGGCCAGGTCAGCAGAGTAGAGACGCCGGTGGAGCGGCGGCGAACATGCGTTTTTGACACTTTGGAGGTGAGCGTGCGGTGCGGGGCCGCTCCCCAGGGGCCCAGGCTCGGCCAGCGACGCCGAGGCCTGTCCCCGGGGAACCTGCGGGGCCAGGGGACCGTGTCTGAGGCCCGACCGGACCGGGCCGGCGCTGGTTCTGGGGAGGCTAGTTCGGAGGCAACTGTTTCAACCGCTCTAACTGTCCCCTCCCGGACTTGGTCCGAGACGTGGCCCACCGGGGGCGCCTGGAACGGAGCTAGTGCAGCGGCCTCCGGAGGATGTGCTCGCGCCCGGGGGTGGGGTGAGGGACGGCGGGGACGGAGGGCGGAACGTGGCACCGTGGGCTCGGGCGCTGGTGGCGCAAGGAGTGGTTCAGTTGGAGGTGGCGGTGGTTTGCCCAGCCCGCCGCCTCCGCCCACCAATTCCCTCCTGCTGGCAGGGTAGTTTGCAGCCGCGTTGAATTTTGAGCTCTCTTGTTTCTCCCTGGGGGCGAGAGCGGAAGCAACCCACCTTGGGCTGTTTTGGCTTTCCCTCGACTACCGGCTCCAAACTGCTAATCATCCTTCTTGGAGTTCAGGAAAGTGTCACCAAGCGGGTTCGGGTTGCTCGTGTTCGTCTCTTTATTGCTGGCAAGCAGCGAAGTAATCCTTTAGGTTTTGAAAGGAAAGCGAGGGTTCTCTCACCACTGTTACATTCCATTTCTGTAGCGCCTTTAAGCATTTCTGGACACTCCTGCTATCCCTTTTGAATCTCATTACCCTATGATTGTGCCTAATTTGAGGGGTAGGGAAATTGAGTCCAGGTGGGGTGGGGAGTATTAGTGGTTTATCCTGCGGATTCTACCAACTGGTGGGTGACTTCTTTGGATCTGAATATACGTCTCTAGGCTTGCAGTTTTGGTTTCATTTTGAGGGCTTGTTATACTCTTCTTAGCTAGAGAGCAAAGCAGAGAATTCGACTTGCAAAAATATGCCTGAAACCAGTAGATTTATTCAAATATTTCCCAGCACATTCATTTAGGATAAGAACTGCTAACTCATTTGTAAGAAAAATCCTACTTTGAAGCTTATTCATGAGTCTCTGGGTAATTGTTTTGTCTGATAAATTGTGTTGCTCTTAATTCACTTTTGAAATAGGGTAATGGCTTTGCTAAATCATGAAGTAGGGTGAAATGCAGCGTTAAGTCATAGATTGAAGAGAAGTAAGGGGGAACTGAATTAGCTATATCTTCTGAATTTTTACTAAAAGTATTATTACTATTTAAAAGCAGAGATCATAGGGTACAAAAAAACCTTTGGCTAGCCCTCATTAGTGGTTTACCTGGCCCAAGTAGAAGTCAAATTTTATGAAATGGTAGTCCTGATTTTTTAAATAAATTGGAGTTGAACAAGGAACACTAAAATAATAGACTTAAATTAAAACTTGGACCTTGATTTTATGACATTTGCAAGACTCACTTTAAACCATGGTGAGATTAGCTTGGCTACTAAAGCTTAAAATTACTTTTGACATAACTTTCTGAGCAATTCAGGAGGTAGAAAAAGAAGGTGGATAGGTCCAAAAGGGAGGCCATATTTGTGCTCAATTTGAAAAAGTTAGAAATTTTTAAGTGTTCTACTTAGGAGAAATAGAATTTGGTTAAAAAGGTACGTATTTTTACTTACAGTGAGTGAAAGAACTCTCATCCCATTAGACCATTCTACAAGTATGACAAGAAGACAATATATAAAATGGATTTTCTTAAAATTATTTTTATTATAACATTTTCAGGTGTAATGACATAAAACTATGTATTGTGAAATGTATATGTATTGTGAAATGATTTTATATGTATTGTGAAATGTGATATGTATTGTGAAATGGTCACACAATAGATCTAGTTAAAAAAAAAATGGATTTTCTAACCATTATATAGTTTTCTTGTAAATGTATTCTGGGCAGGCTGTTTTATATCCAAGTGAGTTCATTTGTCAGTTGCTAGATATCTGAAGGTCATACACTGTATGATAATGCCCAGTATAAAAGTCATACTTTTGAGATTTACACTTATTATGTGGTATTGAGGGACAGTTGGGTTGGGGGAAAGAGTATATAATTGTCTGCCTTCCTTTCAGCTTCAGAATATTGTAGATATTATGAAAGCATTGTTTTAGCAGTGTAGTTTTCTATATTGGCTAACTTTGTAGAGCCTTAATATCTCCAATTACATAGTTTCAAATAACACAGCAAACACACCCTCCCTCTGTAACTTGAAGCAAACTGAACAAACTGTCTTTAAAACCCCTAAAAAGGTCTTTTGAATATCTGCAGTGGTAGCAAATCTTGTCATTTGTAAAGAATCTGATTTTTGGAAAGGTTAAGTCTGGTGAGTAAAATTAGAGTACTAAAGTTGGATAATACCATTAGGAAGCAGTAAAATGAGATGTGATCATAAAGAACTTTTTGGTTCTTAATCTGACTGTGCAAAGCAATTCTCTAAGAGGTTTTGAAATGCTTTTAGTAATGTGGTGTATATATTATTAATATATGTATATATTATATATAATTTTAAGGGGTCATTTGTATATCAAAGATTTTTAAGCATATTTATTTTGTGGTCATACCTCAAAATATGACTAAACTATCAAACTTTATAATTTAATGACATTCATGTGCATTTACTATGTACCAGACTCTTTACTAAGTACTTTCCAAATATTAACTCAATCCTCATAAAAACCCTATTTTAATTATTATTCCCATTTTACAAATAGGGAACTGGAATACTGAATAAAGTAACTCGCTGAATTCAGACCTTGGAATTTTGGGTCCAGGGTCTGGGCTCTTAACTATGCTCAGCTGCTCCTAATACTTTTCCACGGTTAAATACTTTATATTGGTTTATTCTGGAAAAGATGGCCATCTTAGAGGTTTTTCTGCATAGATTATATTGTTTGATGAGTCAATAAGCAAGTTGTAAAAGTAAAAATTGGAAAATTTGTAGTCAGCATTCAGTTCACATAAAACTAGCAAGAAAATAGAAAAGTGTGTTTGAAATACAAATACATATAATTATTATTATTTTTTAAAAAAGATTTATTTATTTGTTTGTTTATACATACAAGCACTGGGTACAGTCAGAAGCACGGGAGGGTGAGAGAATTCACCAGAGCCAGAGCCGGGAGCAGAGCAGGCAGAAGGACCGAAGTACACTGCTGAGGGGAGCAGCGGACTGCAGGTGAGGTCTGCGCGCCATGTGGGACCCTCCTCCGGTGGCCAGGGAGCAGCCAGGGATTGAACCGGCCCTGCAGAGGCTGCAGGCAGCTTCGCAACCCAGTGCTCAACCACTGCGCCACCGGGGAGGACCAAATACATATAATTAAAAAAAAATTTGCTGGAATTTTTTGGACCCTGAGTCAAATGGTTGGACAAGAAAGAAACATGAAATAGCTAGATTCTCAAGCAGCTTCACAAGACAGCGCCGATTTGATCCCTGGCCGCCGGGCGAGGGTCCCACATGGCGCGCAGATCTCTCCTGCCGCCCGCTGCTTCCCTCAGCAGTGTACTTCGATCCTTCTGCCTGCTCTGCTCTCTGCTCTGGCTCTGGTGAATTCTCTCACCCTCCTGCGCTTCTGACTGTACCCAGGGCTTGTATAAATAAATAAATAAATAAATAAATAAATAAATAAATAAATCTTAAAAAAAAAAAAAAAGCTATTTAAAACTAGAGTCACTAGGGGACATTAGTGGAATGGTTGGTAGTTGTATAAAAGTCAGGACAGACCAAAGTCAGACCATGGATACTTCATAGTATACCTAGAAGGGCAAACAGTGAGGTTCCTCAGGGAGCACTACTTAGCCAAGTACTCTTCAAAGTAATAACTGCTTATAGATCCTCTGATACTATATATAAATGGATCAATAACAACAGCAAAAATAGCCCCACACAGAAAAGTTTTAAGCTTTTATGTATAAATTCATAGATTAAAAACATTCCTAACCAACCTGATGTGTAGAAAGATTGGCTCAACATTAAAATATATTCAAATGATGATTAGATATCAAGGAAGGCATCTGTCAGTATGAACTTCCGTAAGGATTCTGGCTCATAGGCCATGTGATCACTACTGTCATCAAATGCAACATAATAACAGAAAGAGTACTGAAAAAGTATCCTATGCATTAATAAAGTGTTGAAATGCTGAAGTAATATAGGTTATTTCACTCCAGAAAGGCATGTATGTAATCTAGAGCAGGTCCAAAGCATGCCAATGAAAATATTTCATGGACTGAGATGGCAGTATAGTGAATACAAGCTAAAAAAGACAAGAAATAATTCACTTCAGAAAGGAGACAGGGCTGAGAACTACTATTATAAAAGTCTACATAATTTGAAAGGGCATTAAAAAAATGTAAACTTAACAAAAGAATGTTAAAAAATGTAAACTTAACGAATCCTAGACTTTTTCAAGGGAGCAAAATGCATAATTTGCGGTAAAATTAAGAGTATAGAAATAGAAAATACGCTGATGGCTTTAAAGTTGTAGAGCTTATCTCAGTTACATAAAACAATATTAAATTAGTAAATAAAAAACTTCAGACTTGAAATCATTAATTTAAAGATGTTTTATATGAGTTTTATGTGAGTCAGGAAATTTTTGTGCTGTATTTTGATTTCCCTTGAGTTTCCACTCCCCTCCCCCCCATTGACACAAGAGTGATAATGCTTTCATTACAATTTATCCAGCTTCCCAATCATATTAATTATTACATGGGGTTCCTTATTTTTCCTGGAACCATCCATCTGGCTGAGTTATTCTCTGGGCGAAGGCTTCGTTTTGGAATGTCTTTTCTTTGCAACCCTGGGTTGGAGCCACTCTCTCCTGCACCCTGTGCTGTCTAGATCTTGGTTTTCTCCCTCCTTTTGTAACTGTCTCAGGAAGGGTGTGGGAGGTAACTCTCCCTAGTTCTTGTGTGAGCAGAAATCCTCTCATTTCCCAAATTATTTGTTTCCTTTCAATTCAGTAGATTTTAGGATTTTTGTATTTATGGTCTTGGTTTGTCGCATTTGGTGGTTCTTGGTTGTCTGTATGTAATATAAAAGGGTTGGTCAATGATTATTTTAGGTAACTGTCTGCAGAGGTATCTCCAGGGTGCTCCCCAATAAGTCACATCACTCCCTATTCTTTTTTTTTTTTTAAGATTTATTTATGCATGCAAGAGCTGGGGTACAGGCCAGGGGTGCAGGGGGTGGGGGATGGGTGAGGATTCACCAGAGACAGAGTGGGAAACAGAATAGGGAGACTGACTGAAATACACTGCTGAGGGGAGCAGCAGGTGAGACAGGTGAGGTCTGCTGTGACTTGTGGGTTGCTCCCTGGCCTGCCGGGGATTGAACTCCTGCTGCAGAGGCTGCGGATTGCTTCATAGTGCAGTGCTTAACCCTTTGGCCACCAGGGAGGCCCTCACTCCCTATTCTTTCATGTGGAGCCTATATTGAGTTTTATCAGAGACTGTAATGTGGCTTGGCATGCATCAGACTGATAATTTTGTCTGACTGAGAATGATGGGTTTTATAATCCTGATTTAATACATGGTGGTGCTTTGTGAGGTAGAAATAAACCTCCCACAAATCTTTTTGCTTACTTTTTCCTAAAATAGAATTTTTTTCCTTAATAAAGGAAAGTGGCACTTTGAATGTAAAGAGGAAACAGTAAAAGGAAGATTGTAAGTTAGTGTTCCCTGTTTACAGTGGTGCAGAAAGGATTTATAAATAAGAAACAGGTCCTGAATGCAAGGAATTACCTGGAGAGGCTTCACCTTTCATTTCCCAGAAAATGTTTTTAAGTAGCAGCAGAACTTTGCTTCTTGTGTCTCTCTAATCTTGATAACATTTTACAAACCATGATTTATTCAGAAACTGAATATTTGAACTGCACATTTATATTCATGTTTGCCAAACTGCAAACTGGCAACTGCAAACTGGCAAATGGCAACTGCACAATCCAAATTTGAGGACCAGTACCCATGAGTTTCTTTAGAACTGGATTCATATTCAAATGTAATTAAAAATTTGGGGGGCATTTTTGGGAAAGATCTTATGTAGAGCATTCAAGAGACATAGTCATTGTTCGCTGATGCCTAGTTGCTTCTCTTATGTCCCATAATTTTGTTAGCAGGTTGGTTAATAGCAAATATATCTCTCTCCTCAAGGAAACTTATTACCTAAGTTTACTCTGAGGAGTTATTGATACCATGTGGTGATATCTTTAAGTGCTTTGGATATTAATTTGAAATACAAATACCTCTTCCTACTAGATAAACTTCCTTCTTATTCACACTTTACTACAAAATAAATTACAGTTGCAAATAACATTTTCCTTACCTTTTGGGGAAATTGAATAGGAATTGAGAATTTAGATGGAGGGAGAGCTAGGATTATAAAATTAATCAGTGTTATTTACTAGTCAGTATACATACTTGAGAAACATAAGTTATTCAGTCTTCCAAAACCTCATTAAATGGGGGAAAAAAGACTAAGAGATAAGCAGATTGCTTAAGGATTTTAATGGCAGAGTTAGAACCCTGGGGAACTTATATTTTAATGTGCTGTCATGTATAAGGGTTTCTCCAAGAGCAAAATAATAGGGACAAAAGTATGCCAGTGTAGGGGTGATCAAATTAGAGGAGGGTGCATTTAGTGCACTAAATATTTATCCAGTACTTAACAATGCCTGACACATAATAGCTATTCAGTAAATGTTTATAGGCATTAACATTGTGATCAGGGTGTTATGCTTAGTGCCATGAAGGTATGCAAAGTATGTTAAGGAGCCTTATTTTTCAAAGAACTCTTAGGCTGACCGATAATTTAAGATAATTAGAAGATTGACTAATAGATGTCAAAAGTAATACTGGATGATGTGGTCAGGGAAGACAACTAAAATAGAAAAAATTAGAAGGCCTCAAAGGAATTAAAATAAGCGTATAAAGTTGTATTTTAATTTCAACTAGAAATCACTCTTGTACCTTTTTGGTACCCTCTCCTGCACCCACCCTTGGAGTTCTGTATCTGTTCTTGTGTGTGACTGTTAAATTTTCATGAGTGGATTGCGCTAGATGAACTCTTAAATACTCTACAACTCTTGAGATTTTTATTTTACTTTCAAAGCTGGTCTTGTTATCTATTTGTTGATGGCCTTTGTTATCAAGACTACATCCACAGGGCCTCCCCGGTGGCGCAGCAGTTGAGCGCTGGGTTGGGAAGCTGCCCGTGGCCTCCGCGGCGCCGGTTTGATCCCCGGCTGCTCCCCGGCCACCAGAGGAGGGTCCCACATGGCTCGCAGACCTCTCCTGCTGCCCGCTGCTCCCCTCAGCAGTGTACTTCTGTCCTTCTGCCTGTTCTGTTCCCCACTCTGGCTCTGGTGAATTCTCTCACCCTCCCGTGCTTCTGACTGTACCCAGTGCATTTATAAACAAAACAAACAAACAAACAAACAAATAAATAAAACATGCCTCTATAAAAAAAAAAAAAAAGACTACATCCACAATATTGGTCCTTGAGACTGTGGCAGTGAAGTGATTTATGTGCCTGTGCTATAGTAATTCACCTCTCGTAGAATTTTTCATGCTTAAGTCGCTCCAAATTCTGCACGTATAGGGTTGTCCCAGATTTTATACTTTTACTTAGGTTCCGATGTTTTCATTAATATTGAAGCTTGTTTTTACTATTTCACAGGCTTTCTTGATCATGGATGGTGAAGATATACCAGATTTTTCAAGTTTAAAGGAGGAAACTGCCTATTGGAAGGAACTTTCCTTGAAGTATAAACAAAGGTAATGTTGAAAAGCATCATAAAAATAGGGGAGAGTGTTTGGAATACACCATCTGTGGTTCATGCATTTTTTTTTTTAAATGTAAAGTTAAATTTAGATTTAGGATTTGGGTTCTAGAAATATTTTTAACATTGCTTATATTTAAATAGCATAAAAATGCCATAAATCTTTGTTACTCAAATTATTGAAATAATAAGAAAATTGAGTGTCATTTGTAATTTCTTTGCAGTTTGCCTCCTTTTATACTTATTACTACACTTGGCCATCTTTGGCCTGTTGTGTGTGTACTGATTCTGCCTCATTTTCGTCTTTTGGAGATTTTGATAAACTGCTTAAGGCTTCATCTAGCAGACTTCTTTTCAGGCAAGCATTATTAGTGCTTGGAGTCAGCAAGCTTTGAAGGGAGGGAGAAGAGCTCAGGGATATGGAACATTTTTTAAGATTTCAATTAATTAGTGAAAAAACCTTTTAGCTAATAATCTTAAGTACCAATGCCAGTTACTGTGCTGGTTTATATAGAAAGTATCTATCTGTGGCAGGGGTTCTCATCTTTTTTTGCCATAAACACCTAAATAGGCCAGTGAAGCCTGTGGACCCCTTCTTAGAATAATGTTTTTAAATGCATAAAATTAAATTTATTAGAGTTATAAAAGTAACTGCTTTGAAAAAGTAACTAACTGCTTTGTGGTATAGTAATGAGTGCTTCTTTGTTAACACATTAAAAAAATATCTAGGGTGAGTATAAAAAATGTGAGTTCTTTTGGGGCTTTTAACTCATTTTAATTGAAGCCTGAATAAGAGATGCAAAACAGATTTTCTTTATTTTATGATGCGTTAACATTCATACAGAAATGGTTGAATTGATATATAATCATCTTCAAGATGATCCTTACGATTTCTGCTATAACTTACCTTTTCCACTTTGTTTTTGAGTAGCTTCCAGGAAGCCCGGGATGAGCTAGTTGAATTCCAGGAAGGAAGCAGAGAATTAGAAGCAGAGTTGGAGGCCCAATTGGTACAGGCTGAACAAAGAAACAGAGACTTGCAAGCTGATAACCAAAGACTGAAATATGAAGTGGAAGCATTAAAGGTAATTGTTAGAAGTGTTTATTGTGCTGGGTGTTATTAAAATGAGAAATGTATTTTTCTTCCCAAGTGCAGCTTAACAGCAGCAGACAACAAAAAAATATAAAAAAAGATTTTAGTGAATTTTTGAATTTTTAATTCTCTTTCATGGAACTAAGAGAAAGGTGACTTAGAACTCAGTGATTTACTTAGAAACTCTGTCAGTTTTTTAGCTAAAATATTTTTTTCTAGCTATAATATTAGTATGCGATGAGGAATTTTCAGTGGCAGACTGCCTCATTGTGCTTACGTTGGTCTGCATTTAGCCTGAGAATCCAGAAGTTCCTCCACCAAGTTTGGTTTTTGAAGCAATAGTTATGTTATTTGAGGCAACAGTTATTTCTTTATGGAAAGATTAGATTTCTTTCTGAGATGAAAATGGTTTATTATAAATTTTATATAAGTTGAGGCATTTGGAATGAACATGTTATTGTTTACTAAGAGGGTACAATAAATTTAAATTGTGGGTGAATTCCTTGGGTTTTGTCTCTTCCCTCCTAGAACTTGGGTTAAATCCTTTGTTAAAGAAAACTACATTTAATGGCACATACTTTCCTTTTCTCTGCCTTCAGGAGAAACTAGAACATCAATATGCACAGAGCTACAAGCAGGTTTCAGTATTAGAAGATGATTTAAGTCAGACTCGGGCCATTAAAGAACAGTTGCATAAGTATGTCAGAGAGTTGGAGCAGGCCAATGATGACCTGGAGCGAGCAAAAAGGTAAGTGGATGATGTGCATTTTTCTAGAATAACCAAAGGTGGCAATCTAAATTCTAACTTTAGGCTGTTTATTACCTCGATCTTAGTTTCAGAACATTTTCCTTGTTACCTGTTCCTTACCATGTTGAAACTAACCAAAAATCCTTACTTTTACAGATAATGCTATTCCCAACTTTTCTTTCCATTTCCTTTCTTTCATGTACTATTGGTAGTCCTGCAACTAGCTGACAAGCAGAAACTCTGGGCACCAGGACAATATCCCCAAGAACAAGGAGTGTTGGGGATCCCACACCCTTGTGGGTAAATGCCCAGCCAAACAGTGTTGGCCCAAAGCAGGACTGCTGTGACCCAAAAGCTTGCCACAAGTCTTAAGGCATATTCTGGCAGGGATCTATCGGAAAAAGGCAGAAGGGGCCAGATAAACTTGGAAGGAAAACAGCAAAATCAAAATACTAGTCAAGATAAAGGGTGCTATTGTTAGCTTCCCCACAGGTCTCTCACTATGTCTTTGTCTCTTTCAAGTGTCTCCTTCCATGTCCCATAAGTCCTGGTACAAATCAAAGGCCTAGAAGCAAGTGTAGCTTCTTCACATGTCTGCTCCATGTACCTCCTCCATGTCTTCTTCCTGATCTCCTTCCTTCTCATATTTTTTTTTTTTGGTAAAGATTTATTTATTTATGCATATAAGAACTGGGGTACAGGCCAGAGGTGTGGGGGCGTGAGAGGATACACCAGAGACAGAGTGGGGAACAGAACAGGCAGATCTACTGACATACACTGCTGAGGGTGCAACAGGGTGGTCCCCAGGAAAGGGGGAAATCACGTTGGGCGCCAAATCTGTTATAGGACAGGGAGAGGGTCAGCCCAAACCCCGCAAACCTGCCTATTCTAAATGGGTTCTGCCATCCGCCGCATCAACACAAAACATAGGAGACTTTAAGGGGAAGGAACTTTAATAAAACTAGGAAACAATACAAGTAAGGCAGAGTCTAGTTTCTAAATGAAGCACCCAAAGTTACCCGTCCCCTCGTGGGTAAAAGTCCATCCAAATGGGATTGGCCCAGAGCAAGGCCCCAAAGCCTGCCACGAGTCTAAAGCATCTTCCAGTGGGGACCCACAGAAAAGTGTCAGAAACAACCAGACAAGCCCGGAAGGAAAAGAGCAAAATCAACATCAAGATAAAAGCTGCCATTGTCACCTCCCCATGGGTCTCACCCACATCTGTGTCACCCAGTCCACAACCAAAAGACAAGCGCAGTTTCTTCACGTGTCTCTAGGCTCCATGCGCCTCCTCCAGGTCTCCTTCTGGCTCCATCCTGCTTCCTTCCTCAGTCTTTTCTGCAGCTTCTTTTCTTCCTGCTCAGCTCCACTCTCCCTTGGGTGGGGCAGGGAACCTCCCCCTTTCCTGGGGACCACCCTGTTGCAAGGGGAGCAGCTGGCGAGACAGGAGAGGTCTGCTGCACCATGTGGGTCACCTCCCTAGCCAGGGATCGAACTCATGCTGCAGTGGCTGCAGGTAGCTTTATAGTGCTGCATCTTAACCCCTTGCACCACAAGGGTGGCCTTCCTTATATTCTTTTTTTTTTTAAATTCCAAATAAGCATTTGTATTCGGCTTGGAGTCCGTGTCTCGCTCAAGGCAGTTATCCTTGGATAAATGAGTGATTGAATAAAGCCATTATGATAAGCCAATTCTTCCTATACACTGTTTTTTTTTTTTCTTTTTTTAGTTTTAGTTATGTTTTATATTCTTAATACAACTGATGGGCGATAAGAATAGGAAAACTGGGAAGGAGACATAAGGTCAAGAAACTAACTCACACAAGGAGGTAGGGATAGAAGAGATTAGCGTCAGCCATTAACCCAGTTATAGAAACCAAGACCTATAGGCATCAACGCCCAGATCAGGAGGTTCAACACCTAGACAGGTATCAGACTGGCATAGGGAGTGTCAAGAGCATAGACCTGAAGGTGAAGATATGGAGATTCAAGAACAAACCATCCACCCACAAAGATGAGCTCCTCCCTACCGGAAGAATAGGATATAGCTCTTTCTGCCCACTTGTGTCTGTGCAAGTGTACTTCACTCTTCTGTTCCTTTTCTAATAAACCTACTCTTTCACATATAAATAACATCTCTGTCTCATGGAGAAACTCGACTGGAAACTTGCCACGTGCCACTGAAAGGGGATCCTTGGTGAAACCTTTCCCAGAGTGAACCCAAGGACCCTGCACTCCAAACCTACTGACTCCAAAAGCGACATCACTACCATACTTTTTGTAGATCTTATATCTGAATTGTGCAGTTATTTCTTAATCTGTCTTTTAAAATTTTTACTCCTTTTCATTCTCTTCTGTCTTAATACTGATAGATGAATATTCACAAAATACTGATTTCATTATGATTTTGCTGAATACAACCATAGTGACTTGCTGTTATTGTTGCCAAACTTTCATACACACACACACACACACACACACACACACATTATTTCTTGACTATTCTGAACTTAATTCTTAATTGCTTTACAATTTTTGTCTGGTAATTTTCCCCTTAATATTTATTGAGAGACTGAATGCCTGACACAATGCCAGAGTTGAGTATACAGAGATAAGCTATCTACTACTCCTGGGTGTGACAGATAAGGATTTCAAATGATAAATATTCTAGTAAAAGAAGTGTACACACTGCTCCAAGGCATAGAGAAGGAAGCAGCTAAACCCTGGGGGAACTGGAGACAACTTTGTATAAGTTGAAGCTGAGTCTGCAAAGAGGACTAGAAGTTAGCCAGGTGAAAGAGAGGTACAGACATAGAGGCAGGGAAATGCATGAGGTGTAAGTACTCCATGTTGATAAAAGTGCATTGAGACTATGTGACTGAACAAGATAAGATTGGGAGGTGATTGGGGCCATGTTGTGAAGAATCTTATGTGCTATATATGAAAGTCATTCTGTAGACAGTGGGTGGTTGTGGATCTTTCTTTTTTAAAGAAAGGAGTAATACTAGGTTTTTAGGTGAGAAGGTAACACTGGGGAATTAGAAGTAGAAAAGAGGAGATGTGAAAACTATTAGGAATAATCCAGGTAATAGATGAGAATTTAGCCAGGGCCAGGTTGGTAGAGAGGAAATGGAATTGAGAGACTTTCACAGTTGACAGTGATGTCGTTTTTAGACTTAGTGTGGGGTCCTTGGGTTCACTCTGGGAAAGGTTTCACCAGAGCTCCTGTTTCAGCGACATGCGGTGAGTTTCCCAGGCAAGTTTTTCCATGAGACAGAGACAGTAGTTATATTTAAAGAACAGGTTTATTAGAAAAGGGATAGGACAGTAAAAGACACTTGCATAGACACAAGCGGGCAGGAAGAGCTGCCCCAGAAGGGACAGGTTTGCTGAGAGGCCTGTGTGGTTGCAGATGGGTGGCCTTGAGGAGAGTGGCCTCCACTGAGGTAGGTTGCTGAAGAGAAACCATAGCAGGCAGGAAGGCTGCTGCCTTGCAGAGGGAGAGAGTTGGTGAAAGGAAGCACCTGCATAGGCACAGGTCGGCAGGCAGAGTGCTACCCTGTTGTGAGGGCTGTTAGGTTTTTATCATCTTCAGGGAGGGGCTCATCTTTGTGAGTGGATGGTTTGTGCCCCTGACACTCCCTAAAGCAGTCTTGTTGTAGAGCAACCCCGATACAAAACGGGGTGCCTGACTGTGGGTCCTCACCCGCGCGCTTAAAAGGACTTATCAATGCTCTACTGCAGGCACATGTGAAAGGTTAATAAAAGGTTTATTTACAACGGAAAGGGAAATGAGGAAATGTACAGCTCTGGGAGAAAAGTGGGAGACAAAGTTTTAAATGCGTCCTACCCGATCCGCCGATCAGGAATCCCAAAATGGCGCTCTGAGAGCTGGTCCAGCCTCCAGGAGCGAAGCCAGGAGGCGAGCGATCGCGAGCCAGAAATGAGCAGAGCAAAGGCGTCCTACCCGATCCGCCGATCAGGAATCCCAAAATGGCGCTCTGAGAGCTGGCCGCCAGCCAGGAGCGGTGAAGCCAGGAGGCGAGCGATCGCGAGCCAGAGAGCGAGCAAGGCCCACGTGTTTGGTTTTTATATCCAACCTGGCTGCCCAACTCCACCCTCAGGTCCCAGCCACCCTCCCCTTGGTGGTGATGGGATTTGTCTTTCCCAATGTCCTGATGGCTTTAGTCTGGAGTGGGGGTGGAGTCCACAAAGCCTGTATGAGATTATCTCAGGACATCCTTTCCCCCTAACAGTCTGATAGTTTCTGGGTGTTGCACCTCCTGATCTGGGTGTTGATGCATAAGGGTCTTGGTTTTTATAACTGGGTTAATGGATTATACTAATCCCTTCTACCCCTACCTCCTTATGTGAGTTAGGTTCTTGACCTTGTATCTCCTTTCCAGTTTTTCTATTCTTATCCTCCATCAATAGGACTTGGCGTTAAGAGTTCTAACTTGGTTAGGGAATTTTTATTTTTGTTAGTAAATAGCACATAGCAGGCAAGGGGGCATGTGGTAGATCCATATTAGTGTTTGTTGAATAAGTGAATAAGATGTGGAATGCAGGAAGAAAAGGATTGGTGGGAAAGAAGTGGAGTAGGACCAGGGACTTGTGTTTTAAACATTTCCTAATTCTTACATACTCTAAAATTATTGAAAAATTCTCTTTCTGAAAACTGTAAATTTGATTGAATTGTGTTTAAAATCTAATGTGTTTAAAATCAAAGAGAAATTATATAGTAAGTGGTCTTCCTTCAAGTAACTTTTTGGGATTTAGGTGGGAATTTAAGAGAAAAGAATATATTCAATGTCACCAAGTGTTAGTAGAGACGTTAAATGCCACTGAAGATCAGAAGAGTGTGAGATCATTTCATTTCAAATAGACCCGGCTTTCTAGGTCAGGAAATGACATGAGATAAAAGAACAGTTTCCTTTTGTATTAGCATTTGCATGTTATTTATTTAATTCATGAACTCTAATATTTTTTTCTTTTAGGGCAACAATAGTTTCACTGGAAGACTTTGAACAAAGGCTGAATCAGGCCATTGAACGAAATGCATTTTTAGAAAGTGAACTTGATGAAAAGGAATCTTTGTTGGTTTCTGTGCAGAGGTTAAAGGATGAAGCAAGAGGTAAAACTTAAAACTTACAGGGTATTTATCCATTAATATACTGTTCCTTAGCCAGAGTTCTAGGCTAGCTTCAGGATCAGCTTTTCAAAGCTACTTTTGTCAGGCACAAAAGCACTTTAATAAGTGCTTTTAACCTATTGAACTTTAATACCTGCATCATCAAATCTGGAGGAGGTATTATCCCCATTTTATATGGGGCACAAGAGTTTGCGTTTTGTGCAAAGTCTTCTAGTTTGTCAATGGGGATTCAAATCCTGGTCTGTTTTCCAAAGCTTTAACTGCTGTGTATACACTACTTATTTTTTTCCTTTTTGCTTTTATCTAAATTTTGTCTTATGCACATAATAATATCATATATGTACATATTCCTAATCATACACTCTTTTAATGAGTGGTAGAATACACAGTATTATAAAGAAGAAAACAAGAAATCACTGCTAGTTCCCTTATCTTGAAAGGACCAACCAACTAACAGTTTGGTGTCTTTCTAGTGTTTTCCTATGACTGTACATAAATTTACCTTTTAAGTTTTTTACACAGTTGAGACTACACTACAGTTGACCTTGAACAATGTGATGTATAAAATAGACCTAATTCCAACCCATATTGTTCAAGAGTCAAATACACACACAGGGTCTCCCCTGGTGGCGCAGTGGTTGAGCGCTGGGCTGCGAAGCTGCCTGCAGCCTCTGCAGCGCCAGTTCAATCCCCAGCCACTGGCGAGGGTCCCACATGGCGACAGGCCTCTCCTGCTGCCCCTGCTGCTCCCCTCAGCAGTGTATTTCGTCAGTTTGCCTGTTCTGTTCCCTGCTCTGGCTCTGGTGAATTCTCTCACCCTCTTGCTCTTCTGACTGTACCCAGTGCTTGTATAAATAAATAAATAAATCTTTAAAAAAAAAAAAAGAGGGTGGGCAGCCACCCACTGAGATTGAAAAAAAAAAAATACACGCACATGTTATATATTTTTTCCTAGCTTCCTTTTTTTCACTCCTTACTTTAGTAAATATAACCCATGCTATTAAAATTTTTTTAAAAGCAGATTTCAAAATGTCATCTATTGTGTCAGTTTTATTTGATGGGTTCTTTATTATTGGTGATTAATTTTTTGCTATAAATAAGGGTACTCTGAGTAGTGTCCTCCTACATAACATTTAACAATATCTTTGATCATTTCCTTAGAATAGATCCTAAAGAGTGGCAAAAGATGTAATACTGCTAAAGTATTTTTAATAAAAGTTGGTACCACCACATGCACCTTAGCAGTGATTGAGTGTTCTTCTCACAGTTTCCCAGCATTGTGAATAAGAAAAATAAATAAGAACTTCTTTAAAAATCAATTGAAAATTAGAAATTGGTATCTCTTTTTTAATTTGTAGTTCTTTGATTACTACTTGTAAAACTTTGAATAATGTTTATTGATTCTTTTAAAAATTGTGTTCTGATGCCTTTTTCTTGGGAAGGGTTATTCATCTGAAAAACTTCTCATGATTTCTGAAAAGCTTTTCATAATTTGTATAATATGTAAAATATTAGCTGTGTCCTATTTTTGCCTTTTTTGTATCCTATTTACAATTGTGATAAACAAAACATCTTGACCATTTTAAGTATATAGTATTAGCTGTATTCATTTCACATTTTTGTGCAACAGATCTCCAGAACTTTTTCATCTTCCAAATAGAATGGGGGGTGGGAGATGGAAGGAAAAAAAAACAAATCTTTATACCCAACAATAGCTACTCTCCATTTCCCCCTTCCTTTCCTTGGCAACCAGTTTTACTCTCTGTTGCTGTAAGTTTGACTACTTTAGATACTTCATCTAAGTGGAAGCCTACAGTATTTGTCTTTTTGAGACTGGCTTGTGTCACTTAGTATAATATCTACATAGTTCATTCATGTGGTAGCTTGTGACAGCAGTTCTTTTTTTTTTTTTAAACATTTATTTATGATAACAAGAGCTGGGGTGTAGGCCAGAGGTGCTGGGGGCAAGAGGATTCACCAGAGACAGAGTAAGGAGCAGAACAGGCAGATCTGCTGAAATACACTGCTGAGGAGAGCAGTGGGGGAGACAGGAGAGATCTGCTATGCCATGTGGGTAGCTCCCTGGCCGGGGATCGATCTCATGCTGTAGTACTGCAGATAGCTTCATAGTGCCGAGACTTAACCCCTTGCAACACCAGAGAGGCCACTATAGTACTTTTAAATTTTACAAGATCATTTAGAGAGTAAGGTTGTTATCTTTATTTCCCTAGAAATAAATAAAAAGTGTTAAATAGGAAATTCACTTTTGAGAAATAGTAATTTAAGAAGAATGTCTTTATAGCATTATAGATCTGACTTTGCTTGATGCGTTTGCTTCCTCTAATGGATATTAATACCTTTTCAACATTTTACAGATTTAAGACAAGAACTGGCAGTTCGGGAAAGACAGCAGGAAGTAACCAGGAAGTCAGCTCCCAGTTCTCCAACTTTAGACTGTGAAAAGATGGATTCTGCTGTCCAAGCATCCCTTTCTTTGCCAGCTACTCCTGTTGGCAAGGGAACAGAAAACAGTTTTCCTTCACCAAAAGGTTTGTAGTGTCTACTTTTTGACTCTATGGTACATTGTCAACTTAAAGAGGGTTTATTGATGACACGAATTGGTAAGGTTCAAGCAATAATTTCAACTTAAAAGTTGATTAGATCTAGCATTGTGTGAAACAAGAGATTGTTTTCTTAGGCTGCTTGTATGTAGGAAACAATGAGATAATGGCTACATTTAAGAGAAAGCAGCTTAATAGAGAGTTTAAGAAGTTAGAGATTTCTAAGGACACTTTTTTAAAAAAAGATTTATTCATACAAGAACTGGGGTACAGGCAAGAGGTGTGGGGCGTGAGAGGATCACCCGAGACAGAGTGGGGAGCAGAACAGGCAGATTGACCGAAGTACGCTGCTGAGAGGAGCAGCGGGCAAGTCAGGAGAGGTCTGCTGTGCCATATGGGTAGCTCTCTGGCTGGGGATTGAACTCATGCTGCAGAGGCTGTGGATAGCTTCATAGGTTGCGTCTTAACCCCTTGCACCACTAGGGAGGCCCAGGACACTTTTTGTTATAGCAGTTAATAAATACATGTTTATGTAGAAAAATTTAAAACAAAGGATAAATCATTTGCAATTATACTATTAAAAGATAGCTATTGTTAACAATTTGAATTTTCCCCTATTTTTGTGCTTTTTTTGTAATCCATGAGAAAACGTTTTGGGATCATTTAAATATAGTTTTATTTCTCACTTTTGCTGCTTACCATGTTTTGGGAGGCTAGCAGTCTGTATACACAGAAATTAATTGAGTTATTCAGACTTATGTAAGAGCTGCTGAGATGGATGTCCATCCTGTTATATGCTTCGGTAGCTGCCATTTTTAAAGGTGATATTTAGAGTAACTAATGGGTAGTATTCCTTTTGTCACTAGCCAATATGTTTTCGAATCCAGATAAGCAGAAAAACCATTTAGTAGCCACTAGAGAGCACCTTAGAATGGAACTCTGAAGCTCTTAATTCAGTTTTATTTCCCTTCAGGAAACTTTCTTCTCTCTTCTTTTTTTTTTTTTTTAAAGATTTATTTATTTATGAATACAAGAACTGGGGTGAAGGCCACAGGTGTGTGTGGGGTGAGAAGATTCACTAGAGACAGAGTAGGGAGCAGAACAACTGGATCATTGGAAATACACTACTGAGGGGAGCAGTGGGTGAGACAGGAGAGGTTTGCATCATGTGTGACAGCTCCCTGGCCAAGGATCGAACTCAGGCTGCAGTGGCTGGTGATAGCTTGATAGCACTGAAACTTTAACCCCTGTGCCACCGGGGAGGGGCTGCAGAGTCTTTTTAGAGAACATTTTGGCAGTAATGATTAAAGTGACACAAATAAGCATATCCTTAGACCCAGTGGTTCTGTATTTAGGAATCTCTTCTCTAGAAATACCTTTGGATGGTTTAAGGATCTGTGTCCTTTTAGCATTACTTATAATGATTAAAAATTAGATATAATGTAAAGTACCCATCAATTTAGAGAGTGGTTAAACGTATTTATGGTATCTGCACTTCATTCTTTATCCAATACTGTAGTGATTTTTCATTGGCTGTGTACTGCTTTGTAATAACAAATTCCAAATGTAAAGGAAATCAAGTGTAATCCCTTGTCTTTTATTTTCCTCTAGCTATACCAAATGGTTTTGGTACCAGTCCACTAACTCCTTCTGCTAGGATATCAGCACTAAACATCGTGGGAGATCTCTTACGGAAAGTAGGGGTAAGCATTCAATTATTTATCACTAGATGTTTCAACTGCCAAAGTATTTAATTATTTCTTTCTTTTTTTTTTTTTTAAAAGAGTCTGATTAGACTTTTTTTTTTTTTTTTTTTTTTTTAATTTATACAAGCACTGGGTACAGTCAGAAGCGCGGGAGGGTGAGAGAATTAACCAGAGCCAGAGCAGGGAGCAGAGCAGGCAGAAGGACCGAAGTACACTGCTGAGGGGAGCAGCGGGCGGCAGAAGAGGTCTGCGCGCCATGTGGGACCCTCCTCTGGTGGCCGGGGAGCAGCCGGGGATCAAACCGGCGCTGCAGAGGCTGCAGGCAGCTTCGCAACCCAGCGCTCAACCACTGCGCCACCGGGGAGGCCCCAAAGTATTTAATTATTTCTTAACTTGAAGTAAGGGAAGAAAGGATACCTTCCTCTGGTAAAGGCTGTAGTTAAGCTGAGAAGCAAAAGCGTCCAGTGAATCACTGACACCCCCCCCCCCCCATAAATGCCTCCAGGGTTTTGAATTGTGGGTTCTTCTGCAGAAGGTCCTGTGCTCTCAGCTTTGTAATTCCCACTAGGCATTCTTTATGTTCCCAGTGGCTGTTTCTGCATCACGATGCCTCCATATTTTTAAAATAGTTCCTTGAAGGACTGCTGTATGACTTCTACTACCTTGCAATCCTGTTCGTTGCTGTCTACCATCTTTCTGGTCATTCCCTTGAGCTTCTACATTTTAGGACATGAACATTGACTTGTGGTGGTGTGACTTTCTGCTGTTAGACATGCCATCTTCCTACCTCAACTACTGTCTCTGACTGTAGCCTTGTACTTGAACAATTTGGACCTTGTATTTGAGATAGTAAGTTTGTTTTTCTGCTTATTCAGTTTTTTACTCTATGAATACCTACTCTGATTTTAAGAGTAGTGCTTTTTTTTTTTTTTTAAAGATTTATTTATGCATACAAGAGCTGGGGTACAGGCTAGAGATGGGGTGGAGGGTGAGAGGATTCACCAGAGACAGAGTGGGGAACAGAACAGGCAGACTGAAATACACTGTTGAGGGGAGCAGTGGGCAAGACAGGAGAGGTCTGCCCTGCCATGTGGGTTGCTCCCTGGCTGGGGATCGAGCTCATGCTGCAGAAGTTGTGGATTGCTTCGTAGTGCGGTGCTTAACCCCTTGCGCCACCAGGGGTGGTAGTTTAAAAGATTTATCTTTTTGGTTTAAAAGATTTGTTTACACAAGAACCGGGGTACAGGCCAGATGTGCAGGAGGGTGAAAGGATTCACCAGATACAGCGGGCAACATAACAGGCAGACTGACTGAAATACCCTCTTGAGGGGAGCAGTGGGCAAGACAGGAGAGGTCTGCCACGCCATGTGGGTTGCTCCACATGGGGGGATCAAACCGGCACTGCAGAGGCTGTGGACAGCTTCACAGCGCTGCACTCAACTGCCTGCGCCACCAGGGAGACCCCTCTTTTGTTTTCCTTTTGCCATCTCTTGCTTTCACTTCTTCCTACATCTTTGATCCCACAAATGACCTATTCTGTCACTGTTAACTCATGGACTCTTTGGCCATGAAGGAGACATGTAGTCTAGATCAGTCAAACAATTGGACTTCTCCTTCCTTATAGTCAGCTCACCAGAGACCATTGTATAAAACCATGTTGACTTAATGCCACTAAAAAGTTAGTATTTCTAGCAGTGGCCGTTTCCTTTTCTATTACTCTCTTTTACCTGTTTTTCTTAGCATTTCAAATTTTTTTTCCTTGTGGATAGAAGAAACATACACTTTGTTTGCGATGAACTTCTGTCTCCCAGTTTCTTATTCATATGTTTTTTTTTTTTTTTTTTTGAGTAGAAGAACTGAGGTATAGGTCAGAGGGAGATTCACCAGAGACAGTGAGAGAATTCACCAGAGACAGAGTGGGGAGCAGAACAGGTGGATTTACTGAAATACACTGCTGAGGGGGGTAGTGGGCGAGACAGGAAAGATCTGTTGTGATATTTGTGGGTTAGCAACCTGGCTGGGGATCAAACTTGGGTTGCAGCAGTGATAGCACTGAGACTTAGCCCCTAGGTCACCAAGGAGGCCCTAATTCATACTCTGATTGAATGTTCTAACAAGCTTTTAGGGCTTGTTGCAGTGTTGTCACCCTTGATTTTCTCATCATTATTATAGACTCTTATAATAATGGTTAGTTCTGCCTGTTCTTGGAACCCATGTTGTCATCTTTTTTTCCCCCTTGCTTTTATTTTGCTTTAGTACCTCGAGTGCTCTATTCAGAAATGGTAAAAGTTGAACTCGGAGTCCTTGTGTTTGTTTATACGTTCAACTGAGACTCTGTCCAAGAAAAACTTTTAGTTTGCTGTTATCCACCAAACCCCTTTATGCTTTCATAAATATTTCATTTTCTATTTGTACTACTTTGTCCACTGATTTGAACAGGGAGCCTCATTCCTATCTTGTAACCTGTTCCACTGAGAAATCAAGGCCATATAATTTAAACTTGTTTTCTTCTTTTATTATTCTCCTATTCTGCCTCTGTAGCCACTTTTTTTTATTTCAGTGGTAAAAGCCCCATATTCCTCATGTTCCTGCTCATGACTATGTCCCTCTGTGCTTTGGATCCCTTTCCTCCCAGTCTTTTTATCTTTGTCTCCAATATCCTTAGCCTTTTGCCATATGGAAATTTACATGTAATATTTATGTGTTACACATATGTACTACCCATGTTATATATACTGTACATATTTATTATATAATATGCAGATTTTTCATCTTAAACAGAAATGAAAGCAGCTATTCTTTCTTTTTACCCTATATCTCTCTTTATTAGTCATCCTATTTCTTCCCTTCACAACTGTGCTTTTTAAAAGTGTGTCATTACTTATTAGCATTTCGATTGTATATACACTCTCCCGACATCCTAGTCTGGGCTCCACCTTGCTTACTCCACCAGAATTCCTCATTGCTAATCTCAGTGCTGACAAATCCAGTGGGTGCTAGTCTGTCCTCATTCGACACCATTTTTTTTTTGTAATATCTTCTTCCCTCTACTTCTCTGACGTGTCATGTTTGCTTTCTGCCTTCTTGTCCATTTCTTTTTGTCATCTTGTGTCTTCATCTGCCCACCCTTTCAGTGTTGATATCACTCAGAGTTCTGTGCTTGGTTTTCTGATCATATTATTCAGACTATGATTTCATCTACTACCTGGTGTGGTTATCTTCTAAATCCTGATTTCTGCACCACTCAGCGTTTAAGACCCAGTACTTGGGCCTCCCCGGTGGCACAGCGGTTGAGCGCTGGGTTGCGAAGCTGCCCTAAGCCTCTGCAGCACCAGTTCAATCCCCGGCTGCTCCCCGGCCACCGGAGGAGGGTCCCACATGGCGCGCAGACCTCTCCTGCCACCCGCTGCTCCCCTCAGCAGTGTACTTCGGTCCTTCTGCCTGCTCTGCTCCCCGCTCTGGCTCTGGTGAATTCTCTCACCCTCTGGCGCTTCTGACTGTACCCAGTGCTTACATAAATAAATAAATAAATCTTTAAAAAAAAAAAAAAAAAAAAAAAGACCCAGTACTTGTAATTCGAAGTCTTACTAATACCTCAAATACAACTCGTGCCTTTCAGATGACACATGTACAACATATATTTAAATGAGTGTCTTGAGTTTAGGAAATTAATGGCTCTCAGTTTTTACTGCATATGCATATAGTTTACAAATTGCTGAAGTGGGGCCTCCCCGGTGGCGCAGCGGTTGAGCGCTGGGTTGCGAAGCTGCCCGCGGCCTCTGCGGCGCCGGTTCGATCCCCAGCTGCTTCCCGGCCACCGGAGGAGGGTCCCGCATGGCGCGCAGACCTCTCCTGCCGCCCGCTGCTCCCCTCAGCAGTGTACTTCGGTCCTTCTGCCTGCTCTGCTCCCCGCTCTGGCTCTGGTGAATTCTCTCACCCTCCTGCACTTCTGACTGTACCCAGTGCATGTATAAACAAACAAACAAACAAAGAAAGAAAGAAAGAAAGAAAAACATGCCTCTATAAAAAAAAAACAAAAAAAAACAAAAAACAAAAACAAATTGCTGAAGTGATGCTTATTCAAGCATAATCTACAACATCATTATCTTTTTTGTGTTATTTTACTAAGTTATTGTACTTTTATTATAGGAAAAGAAAAGAAAGTTGTTTTAGTCTATTTTTGTTGCTGCTTCTTAACTAAGGTATTGAAATTATGGGGGGAGAGTCTCAAAGTGAACTATGTTTTCTATTGATTATATATTCCTAATTCTTTTCTGTCATAGATAGAGGAATGGAGTATTTTTTTGGCCATGGTTTGTATCCTCCCCCCATTGTCTTTTTAAAATTCGATTGAAGTGTCTAGGGAAAAGAGGGAGTTTGTGATATTTGTGTGTGGCAGAAATAGATGAGAAACTATTTATCTCCGTATGTAATCTGTTTGTAGAACCTGGCACTGACCAGGTGTCAGAAGGGCAATTTAGAGGTAAATGCTTTAAAGGCTGGTGTCATTTTTCTGGTCAGTTATTTAATTATTAGTAAAAGGTGTTAGATATTTTTCATTGTACTCTAAGAATAACTTTTAACTTCATGTATGATGTTACCAATTCACTTGTCCATTTTGATGCAGTAGAAATAACTAAACTGAAGCCTTAAAAGAATTGGTTACATTAAAAAAATTCTAAAGTGGGGGGTCTCCCCAGTGGTGCAGCGGTTGAGCGCTGGGTTGTGAAGCTACCTGCAGCCTCTGCAGTGCCGGTTCGATCCCCGACTGCCGAGCGAGGGTCCCACATGGCACGCAGACCTCTCCTGCCTGCGCCTGCTGCTCCCCTCAGCAGTGTATTTCATCAGACTGCCTGTTCTGCTCCCTGCTCTGGCTCTGGTGAATTCTCTCACCCTCCCGTGCTTCTGACTGTACCCAGTGCTTGTATAAATAAATAAATAAATCTTTAAAAAAAACAAAACAAAACACACACTTATTAAAAAAAAATATATATAAAAAAATTATAAAGTGATGGCTTTGCATTTTTTATAATACTGACTCCTAATGTATATACACACCCAACTAGCCAACTAACAAAACTATTCACATTTCAGAAAGAAACAATAATATGCTCATGAATCCTGGTATCTGTCTCTATTTACATGAGCCACATTTTTCTTAGTTGTAAGGCAAGGAGTTCTAAGTTCTTATTTATAAGGTGAGGAGAATTCTGAGAGGAATAAATAAAATATTCTGAGCTCATTAGATAGGGAGTCAGTATAAACATTCCTTCTTTCTTTTAGAAAGGTAATGATTATGGTTTAATTAACCCCACTATTAACTCAGAGTAATCTTTGAGTTTTGGAATAGAAAATGTTTTGAAATAGAAATGTTTGAAATGCACATTTTTATGTGTAGCTACTATTTTGACAACCAAATCATTCCTTCTTTTCGTAGGCTTTAGAATCCAAATTAGCAGCCTGCAGGAATTTTGCAAAGGACCAAGCATCACGAAAATCATATATTTCAGGGAATGTAAACTGCGGGGTGACAAATAACAATGGCACAAAGTTCTCTCGATCAGGGCATACATCTTTCTTCGACAAAGGGTAAGTCTTGGAAATTTTAAATAATTTTTTGAGTAATAAAGTTGCCCATTGTCAAGTGAGCTTATAAATGGTAAAACTCAGTTTGATAAACCTACCTGCAGACTTTTATTACTCAGATCTTAGGGGACATGGACTCTGTTGTTGTCTTTGCCTCCCCATGGAGTCTGTTGCCCTGGGAACCCTGACTCTGAAGCTCCTGTCCCAGGAAGCCGACTCTGAGAGGCAGCAGTACCAACCTTAAGGAACTAAAGACAATAATTATTTGGTCCTTGTACTCAAGGGGCTTATAGGCTGGTAGACATTCTCAGCAAATATTTGTTAAGGGTAGAAAGAGAATGCTATTATTATGTATATGTAAGCTCTGCAACAAGCCTTGTGTCTGAAGATTTAAAAAAAATATAAGATCACTGGACCAAATATAGTTTAAGAGACATGACTTTGTCATATGATTTGAAGATGTTTTGGGGAATTGAGAATTTAAAAAACATTGTCATGAGATTGAAGCAGTGCTGCATCCAAAATTACAGTTGGTACATAAGAATCCAAAGTAGAGAATAAATGTTTTCTGTTTTCAGCACCTTTTTTGCATCCTTACAGTATTTGTAGGGATGTGAAATCATATGTTTATGCATCTGCTATTTTAAAAATTTATGGTATTTTAAATATTGCTCTGTAATATGCCTATTGTGCCTTAAATATTGCCAGTATCTTTCCATGTGAAGCACACATTATTCTACCTCAGTTCTAACAAAAACAACAACACTGCATGGTATACTTTTGTATGGGTGTGCCTTGAATTAGGAAAACTAGTTAGGACCTATGGTCTGGTAATGCTGACCAGGCTACCTAAGGTTGCTATTACTGGAATAGCAACTGAGGCACCATGATCCTTTCCATGGTCTCTGCTTTGAATTGTCGCAGCTGTTCTTGTTTTGTGAAAGCAATACTGATACAGCTCCTGAAATTTTCAGTTTCTTAAAGGAGCTCACATTTCTGTTTTCTTACATAACTGGCACATTTACCAAGTATCTGATTTGGCACACAGTCCACTCTAAAAAACCTCTTGTTGTCCATCTTTGTGTAGTGGAGTGATAATGATGTTTCTCTCCCTTAAGAGAAATCTGCCTTGAAGTGCACCTATCTCATTGAGGAGCTAATTCTAAAATAGTGTATAAATCAGAACTTTATATACACATTTCGTTAAAAGCATTTTCTCCAAAGTATCAAAATGTAGATCAGCACTTTATCCTAATCATTTGAATTATTCCTTAGGGTGATTAAGCATTAAAGTTAATTCTCCCTAGATAACCATAAGCAATGTCTGTTTTTATGCTGTAATGGTAAATAGAATAAGTAGTTTTATATTAGAGTTGACATTTTCCCAAAGCAGTTTAGGGCTAGTCTTGACGAGTGCTGAAATAGTGCCTAATTATTTTTTCCTGCAACTTGTAGTTACCTCCAATGTGGTAGTTATTAGTCTCTATCTGGAATCATGTCTTGGTGGGTCATGGGCAACTTACGCTGTAAGAACAAGGCATAAATGGATAGGGTGTATTAACTGTAGGGTCAGCATCTGCCATTGGAGATAGAAATCCTTAGGACAGTTGTGATGAACGAGAGAGAGAACGTTGTCAATTCAGATTCTCTACTCCTCTATTCCTGAGAGACTGACTTCCACTTCACCCTTGGTGTAGAGCACCAGGATAGGGATTGCCCAGATATGAACTCAGTCTTAGGTAGATGTGGAGGATTCAGTGTAACGTGAGCCAGGGAGTGGGCTTCCAGCTCTGTGAAGAGAGCCCTGTCCTGTGAGGAGCACCCTGCCAGATGTAGACTTTATGTGGGCTTCCTTTACAGAAGGTTACAGAGATTTAGTTTTGGTTTAAAAAAGCACATATTTTAAATGGTACTATTTCTGTTAAAAATTAAATAGGCTTTTTGAACTGACCTTTTCTCTAGTATTTATATGCTAAATGGACTACACACACACACACACGCACACACACACAATTATTAACCCATTGCTTGAGTTACGTCACCATATTCCTGAGGATTTTGTGGATTTTGCTGTGTCTTCCATGCTGCTTTACTTTGGTTCTGGCTTCCCTCTGGCCTGCCTGGCTTTTTACCTCTGACTTTTCTTCCTGCTGACCTATTGATTAGATAAAACCCACAATGGTATGTACCAGCTGCAAAAGAAAGAGCGGGAAATATCCCACCTCCCAGCTCCATTATTCAGTCTGGCAGGGCAAAAGAAAAAATGCCAGTTCTTCTAGAACTACTTGTAGAAACTACTAGTTTGTAGTTTCAACATGAGAAAAAGCTCTCCATTGAAAAAATCTTGGGTTCTAGAACTTGCCTATTCTCCTCTCCACAAGAGTGTGTCTCATTGTCACTATAGAGACCTATAGGAGCATTTTTTTGGGGAAAGAGTCGAAAAAGTCAATTAAAGTCGGGGCGCATGTGTGTGTGTGTGCACATGTACACCCATGTATGTGAATATACCCATTTTCCTGCCCCCCTCAAAATCTTCCGATCCAGTGAGGCCTCACCACGTAAAATGATATAACTTATTGTTATATATTCCTTTATGGGATTTGAAAGTATTTTGTAAAATCTGGTTATTTGAAGACTTCTTAGAATCAGAATCTTACCGAGTTTGTGATCACTTCTGCCAATTCCTAAAATATAACTTGCTGAGCTTGCTTTCTAGGTGTTGCTTTTGTCTCCAACCACTGATTGCCCTTCATATCATTCATCTAAAATAATACAAATTCATGTGTAGTGCAGTCACTCAAGCTGTCTCAAAAGCATTCTTTATTTCCTGTGTAGTTTTTATTTAGTTTCCTATTACTTTATAAGTCAGTCTGATTTCTTTTGGGCTGTGTGTAGGTGGGCATAGACTAATTTTAGGGCTCGGTGTAAAAATAGTATTTGTATTACTGTTTAATGGTTTTTCCTTTTTTTTTTTATTAGGCAAGAAAAAGTCATATTTCCCACGTTGTTCATGGGTAACTGAATTTGTTTGCTGTGCTCTTTTTCATTCTTTCTCAATTGTGTGGTGGAAGACATATTAACACTGGTTTTACTAATTGCATGGGGCTGACTCTGCTTTAACCGACTTACAGCCCATGAATGAGTTTTCTATTTCCTATTGACTTGACTATATATCGTTATGGTTCAGCTGTGCAAAACAAAAACAAATTAGTTGTAGGGTCTTGGGTTGGTTGTGAATAGCATGCCTGGTAGCACTCCTGATATTGCATAGGGTGCTGTTGTGATGACAGCAGGAACCTGTGGGTAGGGAGTGAGAGTCTCTGTCAGGCCCTGGATTCCATATGACTGTCTTCATGAGGCTGGAGTTCTTTCTGTTACCGAATATCTTCTGTTTTCTCAAAGTGGACACTAGTGCTAATGGAGGGGACTCCCCTCTGCAGTGACTCCTGTAGTCCTAAAGCACATTAGAATGGTAGATTTGGATGTGTATGTAAGATCTGCCTTACTTTTCAGGAATGTACAGAGCTTGGGCTGAGCTTCCACTTACTCATCCTGCTGGGGAAAATAGGGTTTGGAGTGTATCTGCCTGCTCTCCTGAATTACCTGTTCTCATCCTTTTCTCTACTGCCTTCTTAGGTGTATCTGTCATGCTGCTTTGAAAGGTTTAGTCTCTGTTGCATTAGATTTATTGTCCTGACTAGCACCTAAACATGCGTTGGTTTTTCCTTTTTTCTCTTGCCATTTTACAGCTGATCTTTGTTCCTTTTCTTCTAGCTGGGTTCTGTTTTTCAGACCTTTTAACTAGATTTTGGTGATATGACTGTGACATTTCATAGCTTCTGGAATCTTTTTTTACATAGATGATTCCCAGATCAGTATCTCCATTCCTGCCCATTCTTTCTCCATTCAGTCCTGTGTTGTCCACTGGGACATTTTCCTTCGACTCTTTTGCAGCCCCCTGAAACCAAATGTGGTGAGTATGGAGGGATTTTTTCCCCTGGAAACCTTTCCTCATTGTACAGCTTTGCTGTTTCCTGAAGGGACCTTACATGTAGTGTCAATTTTCTATTCCCTTTGACCTTTTACTTCCCAATTCTTGACTCAGAAAGGTGGAAGGTGGACTCTGGCAGATTGTTAATGCCTCTCTACTTCAATCGGCCTTCAAATCTAGAATTCCCATTTCCATCCACCCAGAGCAGCTACTTAGCTAGGTTCTAGTTCCCTTTTATATTCTGCATTGCACTGTTTTCCTCATTAGAGCTGATGTGCACTGGGTGCATTGTAATGGTTGCTTGCCTATGGGCTGTTGAATATCCTCTGGCCGGGAGGAGACTAGGAGAGGATAATGGCCTGGAAACCTGGAGGTGGTTGTGAACTCAGCTCTCCACTGATGGGCTCACAGGTTGAGCTAATGTGAATGGACCTTCTCTTGCTTTGATTTTCTTAGTAATGTAGCAGTGGGGATGAATTTGATGTTCTTTAAGGGTCCACCGGCTTGAAAATGCTGGAATCTCACCCTAAACCTGCGTCAGGAACCATCCTCAATAGTTGCATTTGTAACTCTGTGGAACAGGGGCCAGGAATTCTTGGTACCCAGCAGTGCTCCCTTTGTTGCTGAGGTCAGAGGTACCTGTAGTACATATTGCCATGCCTACCTCTGCTGTCTTTGAGGCTGGGAATCTGACGTTCACATCTTCAAAGTTCAGGCCGTTTGTGAGGCCTGTGCAATTCTGCCTGAAGTGGTAGGAGAAATAGGCTTTGGACTCTGGGATTAATCAGAAAAATGCCACATGGGGCTTATGTGACAGCCAACATGGCATGTAGGCTATGGCCCCTTGCCTTCAGAAGAGCACAGGCGTATATAGCTTTGGGAGAATGTGGACAGGTGATTTGATGTTTTTAAGTATAAGGGAGCTCAAATATTAGACCTTCTCTAGTCCAAAAAGAAAAGGGAGATTTTTGGGTATTTGTCATTGAAGTAGGAAAGTGCAACAGGGAGAAATTATATTTGTTAGAGCCCCTCGTCTTGCTCATGGCCTGTGTGAGTAACTTGATTTCAAACTTGGAATCAATACTCTGAGGTTAGTTTCTTCAGGCAGTAATTCTCTTTCTTTAAGTAATCAAGAGTCATTTGTCAAATCTCTTTCATGCTTGTTTCCGCATGAGATTATATTCTCCCTGCCTGTATGAAACCATTATCCTTGCTGGGGAGTGTGTGTCTTTTTTTTCTTTTTTCTTTTTTTTTAAGAGAACCTCTCTCCATGAGTCTTTAAACTCCTTGGAGACCCCTCTGGTGAGAGGTTAGGCTGGGAGGGAAGATGGTGGCAGGCAAGTTGTGGTACAGAGCAGCTTCTTGGAGTTGGCCTCATTTTCCAAATTATTAGTGGGACAGATTTTCCTTGGAGGTTTTTTCAATATGGAATGGCTGAAGTGGCTTCCTGAGAGAGGTTCTGGCTTTGCACTCCCTCCCTCACTGCTTCTCATGGTTGAGCTGCCGGGCAGGTGGGGTCGGGGTGGGGCAAGCTGCATCACTGTACCCAGGTGCTGGGTCCTGCTGCAGGCTCTTGTGCCGGCCGGTCTGGTGGCTCATGAGTCTGCAGGGAAGGCTGCCCATCTGGCTTTGCTTGCTAAGTAATTTTTATGTTATTTTTCTCCTAAGTAAGAGATTCATATACATATACAATGTATTCATATACATACATACATATACACATATACACACACAATGTGTATAAATCTGGAGAACAATTAAGAAAGTATAAAGTAATAATCAAAATCTTCCCACAGCCCAGAGGGAAGGAAAGTACTGCTAAATTTTCCTTCTACGTAAATATGACTTTATGAACATGTGTATCCCCCACGCATGATAGATTTCACTGCATAGGTAGTAATGTCTCTTTATAAGGGGCTGTAGTTCAGAATCTAAATATTTGCTATTTAATTTTTTTATTCACATTATTGAACATGTGCAGTTTTGGTAATCTGCTTCTTTTTCCACTTAGCAGTAATTACATTCTGAACTTTTCCCATGCTATTAAAACTCTGTAGATTGTGTTGTTAATAACCATATAATATTTTATCATTTAGTTGTATCATTATTTTACTAGTTCCCTGTTGGCTGGTGCTTTGACCTGCTCTGTGGGGGGAAAAAATGAGGGCAGTGGCCTGTGTGATGACGTTGTTGAGAGGGGAGCATATAGTCTCATTACGCCAGGACCCTGAATCTCGATTCTCTAACCAAACTGATGCTTTCCAGACAGCCACTCTTCCTTGGGCTGCCAGTAATCTACTGTGGGCCAGGAAGAGGAATAGTTTTTTAGAGAGCAAATTAATTTCTTGTTGTATGTCCAGTGATTTTAAATGACAGTCTCTCTTTCTCTTCCCTCTCCCTTCCCTTCTCTGCTCTGGTCACCCCCACAGGGCAGTAAACGGCTTTGACCCAGCTCCTCCTCCTCCTGGTCTGGGCTCCTCACGCCCGTCGTCGGCCCCGGGTATGCTGCCTCTCAGTGTGTGAGTGCTCGGCCTCCAGTTGGGGGCTCCTGCCCTCCTCCAACAACCCAGGACACCCACGCCTCACCCCTCGGTGCCTGGGCCCAGCCTGTGCCTCTCCGCCTGCCTCCCCATGGCCGGCAGAGGGCAGGCTGCATGCAGTGGCGGCTGCTGGGCCCTGCCCAGCCCCAGGACTCTGCGCGATATCAATACTGGCTATTTTCTCTTCTCGCCGTAGTGCCGTTGGTTTCACATGATTGCACTTTTGTGGGTCACAAGGTGATACATATGTGTATTACTTGGTCACTGGATGCAGAAGTACTCATTCATCACACCTGCCTCTTAGCCTCCAACCTGCTGTACTGATAGGATTTAGTTGTGTTTAGGACATTACAGATCTTCTAGAAGTTCTTCCCCAAATCAGGTTGACATATGCCCTCCTCCTGAGCTGCCCCAAGCATCTTCAGTGCTAATGATCATGTTATCCCCAGTTTTGCCCCTTCCCCCCTTACAGTTTGAGCCTGTTGCTGGCAAAGAGTCAGGAAGGTCATCGAATTAGGTAACATTTTCTGCACCTTTGATTTTAATTTAGCGCAGTTATCATTCCGTAGACTTGTCTCCCGGAGCAGTGAAACGCTTGTCTGAGTCCCCCATGGCAGGAGCTTCTGTGGTCTGGGCGCACACAGGGCTATGTCTCTGTGCTGTCTCCCTCCCCCATGTGCCTCAGACTCGGGGTGCAAGGTAGTGGCAACTTCCTTGCCAGCTTTCTGGTCCTTCAGTTAAATGACATCTTCAGACCATTTTTGTTTTGTCTTCTAAGGGCCTGTCCGGTTGTGTTGGGAAGGGTTGAGTGGCATGGGGCTGGCCAAGCTGGCTCCTGGGGGGCAGACTGACCACGAGTGGTTGTCCTGTGCATCCTTTGATTACGCTCATGCTGCATTTACTGTTTACATTTGTTTTATTGTACATAGGTTTGTAAACATTACTGCCTAAGGTATTTGTATATAACTTGGGCTTTGTAGCTTTTATTTATTCAGAACTCATATGGCATGTTAATGACTTATGATGGTGTCCTACTCTGGGCAGTGGTATAGGATCATCATGTGGTTAAAAAAAAAAAAAAAAAAGAAAATACTTTTCCCCCTTCCCAAATCTTTTAATGTGGAAACAATAAATTTCACAGAAAAAAAAAAAAAAGAATTGAGGTTGCTTTATTGGGTTCCTGCCATCCCTTGAGAGAAAAGCTGGGTTTTATAAGGCTTTTTATAAGGCTGGGTTCAGTGTCACTTTTGCAGATGGCAAACATGGAGCAAAGAATATTCAGGCAGTTTTAGAAGATGTCGAAAGCACTGAGCAGATGTTCTCATGCTGGTTCCTGGTGTTTGTTTCTAGTCTTAGCTGTGCGTTCCTGGCAGTGTTCGTGTTCTGGGACCAGTGGTTATTTCCACCCATCCCTCTGGGTTGACAGAAGGTTTCAAATGTTGGGTGGCAAGATACAAGGTGACTGGACCTGAGGAAACTATAAACTAGGGGTTTCTCTAAATGGGTCAGACATTCTTAACATGCTTTTCTTAAAATAAGGAGCACAAATAAACAATAAAATTTATAGTTTTAAATTAAGTGAATGAAAATCAATTTTTGAAAACTTAAAGTAGGATACGTTTTTGAAAATTTCTTCTGCTTGTTAATATGTGGGCAGGAAAGTCTTCTGGTAGTTGTTGCTGGCCATGTGACTCACTGAGAGGCATGGGCAGTTGTGTGTGTTGTGCTGGCAGAACCGTTGAAAAGAAAACTCGTAAGTCTTTCACTGATGTGTAGCAATTCCCAGCTTCTTTTCCAACCATCATTGAAAGGATTGGATTAGTTTAGAGGTGTAAGTATTTATCAGACCTTTTTATTGTTGCAGAAAACCTAAATTGAACATGTAACAAGCATAGTTTGTCTGGCTAAAGCAAGAATGAGTTCTGGAGCCCTGAATCCTTGACCCTGGTGCCCTGGTGATTTCTCAGCTTATCTGGAATCATCACATCCAGATGGTTCTGTCCATTGCTGGGTGAGGGGTCCTGACTACAGGGGCCCAGGTGTTATTCACTGGATATCACCACAGCTTTGGCTCCAGCAGAGCCCGGGCAGGTCCGTGAAAGGGCAGCTGAGCGTGTTTCCTGTCCCTCCTGGAGGCGACGATCCCCTTTCCCAAGCCTGGACCCTCCCCCTTCTCCTACCCCCCAACCATTTTATTTTTTTACTATTTTTAAAAGGTTTTATTTATTCCTGTGTCAAAGAACTGGGGTGCAGGCCAGAGGTGTGGAGGTTGAGAGGCGTCACCAGAGACAGAGTGGAGAGTAGCGAGCAAGACAGGAGAGGTCTGCTGCGCCATACATGGGTTCGCTCCCTGGCTGGGGATTGAACTCAGGCCATCCTGGTGGTAGTGCTGAGACTTAACCCCTAGGCCACCAGGGAGGCCCATATTTCAGTTTTAAAAGCTATAGCAGGGCCTCCCTGCTGGTGCAGGGGTTAAAGTCTCAGTGTTATCAAGTTATCTCCAGCCACTGTGGCATGAGTTTGATCCCTGCCATGGAGCTAACCCAGATGGTGCAGCAGACCTCTCCTGTCTCGCCTGCTGCACCCCTCAGCAGTGTATTTCAGTCAGTCTGCCTGTTCTGTATGCCATACTCTCTCAAGTGAATCTTCCACCCCACTGTACCTCCAGCCTACTCCCCAGTTCTTGTATGCATAAATAAATAAAAATAAATCTTAAAAAAGAAGCTACAATAGCAGCCCTTGACATATGAGGAAGCCAGTTGAAGTCCCTGGGCTCATTTTCATCTTTCTGTTTGGCTTATTTGTTTCAAGTTGCTACTTTGTATTTGCTCAAATAGTGCTTTTGCTACCTGATTGGAAACTACTGCATACTGTTTGCCTCTCTAGCTAAAAATTACATATCAGCCACCTACTTCTGATGCCCAGGCTTTCCCAGCTCTCACTGAAGCCTTCAGGAAGGAGCCCTCTCCTGAACTGGGTCCACACTGTCATCTCTCCTGCACGGGAGGTGCTGATCTTCCAGGTGGTGAAGAACAGCTTCCTGACTCCAGGTATTTTCATCTCACCACCCACCCATTCCCATCCCTCACTCCTGAATGTCTTCCTGCATGAGAGCAGTGCCCACTTGCTTTCAGCCCAGAGTGGCCAGAAACTAGTCCCCACCAACTCAGCTGGGAGCCAGCAATCAAAGTGAAGCATTTGAGAATTACATATAGGTAGCCTGGGAGCAGGATAAGCTGGTTTTACCTCAGTTTACAGAAAGGAGGGTGGAACCAGAGTTTAAGTGACTAACTGAGATCCCATAGCTAGTTCATAGGAAAGTCAGTAATGGAGTAATTTTGCTTTACCTGCCACCTTTCCCAACTTGAAGCCTAGCTGGGCTTGACTTTTGTCTTGTGCTGCAGGAGATGAACTGATTGACACTTGGACCCATACCCTTTTCTCACGCGCCTTTGCAACAGCAGGAATACGTGCATGCATCTTTCCTCCTCAGCCAGTCTTTTCCTTGCTGACTATGTTAAATCTGCCCAGATGCTGTCCCAGAGATGCTGTTAGCATCTTCTGAGAGCAAAGGTAGAAGCTGGCATCTCTGGGGGAGGGGAGGCATCTTGGGGTGGAGCCAGATCTGCCTGGTTGAGTGGAGGTCAGCTAGCCTGAGTGCTGGTGAGAGAGGGGTATGGTTCCAAGCAGTCAGTTGTTTTCACTGTTTCCCTGGACGATGCTAAGATAAGACTTTTCTCCATTCCAACTTTTACATCACAGATTGTTTTTCTATATTTGCCCTAAAGGTTGAAACAAATTGAGAACATTCCCTTGATCTTTAAGACATGGACGTTACTTGATTCTTTCTCAAAAATGGGGTGGGGGGTGAGGAGGCATTTTTGTAAATCATTTCTTATCACTTACCGCTTAGAGCATCTAATCTGAAAACTAGTCCTATGACTTAAAAATATGGTATTATGGGAACACAGTAGCCCTTGCTCCATTTTAAGGAAAAACAGTAGAGTAAATATTAATGTAACAGACCTTGTAAAGATAGTTCTTATAAGGAGGCAAATTTGAAAACAAAGTTCATATCCACAGTGTTGAGGGAACAAGTGGAATTTGTGTTATGATTTGGAGTCATACTTTTTGCTGCTGTCCATCTGCACATGCAGGTGCTTGTGGGCTGTTTCCTAATCAGGTGCTAGGTTTCTCTGCTGGACCCATTAAAATATGGAGATCCTGCCTGGATCATGATTTACAGGGGCTGAGGAGGAGGGTGTTGGGCTGGCAGGCCTGGGCAGTAGGTTTTCTGGCATATGCTTGTATAAACAGATGAGTGATGTCTGAGTTAGCTCAGACCCCCATTGCTCCATCAGTAGATGGAACTGGTTTTTGGTTAAAAAAATGTGACTACTCCTTCTCCCCACCCTTGCCCCCCCCAAATATTTTGTTGAGGTAACATTGGTTTACAACATTGTATATGATTTAGGGGTCTAAACCATCTCTCTTCAGATGTATATTACCACACCAGGCCTACCACCAAAGCACCGTGACCCTTTACCATATTTCATTGGACCCACTCCCCACCCTGCTCCCCATCCCTCCCACCATCCCCCTCTGGTAGCCGAAATTCTGCAGTCAGATTTCTAGGGTTTGTTTTGGGTTGGTTTTGTCTCTCCCTTTGTTGTTTCTTGCTATTCCATGAGTGGAATCATCTGTATTTGTCATTTTCCCTCTGACTTATTTCACTTCGTTCCATGCATGTTGTTGCAAATGGCAAGATTTCATCACTTTAATAGCTGTTACTACAGCTATTAATATGTGTGTGTGTGTGTGTGTGTGTATACATATATACGTACACACACATCTTCCTCTCATCTGTCCTTGGACACTTAGCTTTTTTCCATAACTTGGCTATTGTAAATTGTGTTGCAATGATCACAAGAGTACATATACCCTTCAAATTAGTGATTTTGCATTCTTTGGGTAGGTACTGAGGAGGAGAATTGTTGGATCATATGGGCGATCTATTTTTATTTTTTTATGCATACAAAAGCTGGGGTGTAGGCCAGAGGTGCAGGAGGGGTGGTGAGAGGAGTCACCAGAGACAGAGTGGGAGAACAGGTGGATCTACTGAGATACACTGCTGAGGGGAACAGAGGGCAAGACAGGAGAGGTCTGCTGCCCCATGTGGGTAGCTCCCTGGCTGGGGATCGAACTCGTGTTGCGGTGGCTGCCAATAGCTTCATAGTGCTGAGACTTTTCTCCTTGCACCACTAGGGAGGCCCAGGATCTATTTTTAACTTAAAATGTGATTATTTTTAGCAAGGAAATAAATCAGCAAATCCCACCGTCACCTGTAATTTAGAGGAATAGGTACACCTTATGTTATCAGTCACTAAATTACTCATAAGTCTTGAGTCAGTCTAATAATGTAATAAGCTATAGAAGCTCAACTCCTCCTACTTTTGGGATAGTAAGAACAAATAAAATCTCAGTAGCAAAATACACAGTATGGGGATTGGTTGGGATGACTTACCAGGTGGTTAGACCACAGAGCCTTGATGCAAGTGTGTATGTGTGCTAATACATGCAGATGGCAGTGAGCAGTGGGAAAAGAACACAAACAGATAAAGATGCTAAATGCAGCTTAATAAAAATCACAAGTAAAATTCAAAGGCTGCAAATAGTTTACTATTTTGGGGTTTTTATTTTTTTTTTTCTGTAAAGTTGCCCAAATTCATTTTTTTTTAATTGACTGAAATTATGAGATTGAGTTTCTTTCATAACCCAAGTTGGCCTGACGATCAGCACCGAGTAGTTCTGAAATTTGAGCAAGTAGCACAAGACAGTGGCTTCCTGATGTGCTGCATGACTGGCTGAGTCACACTTGGGGAAATTTTAAAACTCAGTTCTCTGGGCCCTCCTCTAGCCCCAAACCTAGTGAAAATATTGTATCTTTTTTTTTTTTTTTTAAAGATTTATTTATGGATATAAGAACTGGGGTATAGGCCAGAGGTACAGGGGGTGAGAGGGTTCACCAGAGACAGTGGGGAGCAGAACAGGCAGGCAGACTGAAATATACTGCTGAGGGGAGCAGCGGGCGAGTCAGGAGAGGTCTGTAGCTCCCTGGCCGGGGATCAAACTTGTGCTGCAGAGGCTGCGGATAG